CAGAGGGCGGCTCTAGGAGAGAGAGGGTTTTGGTTAATGCAAGGAGGTGTGGAGAGACTACCTGGAAGGTGTGGAGGATACAGGGGAATTTGCTGATCACAGAGCAGGTACTCCAGAGGGTACATCGGAGAGCTGGGGGTCGGGGTGCATTAGAATGGTGGGGAACTGATTCAGGAGAAGGAAATGTGGAGTGTTAAGGTGATGATGGGCCAGTGCAGTCGTTTTCAAGCTTTAACGTGCATCACAATCGCAGGGAGGGCTTGTTAAAACACACGTTGCTGTGCCCCACTCCCAGGGTTTCTGACTGAGTAGTTCCAGGGTGGGGCCTGAGAATTTGCATTACAAGTTCCCAAGTGAGAGGGATGCTCTCCTGCAAGGACCACACCTTCAGACCATGGATATAGGAGAAGCCCAGTGACTAATGAGGCAGTGAAAATGGCGATGAGAGTACAGAGTGGATTAGTCCCAACCATCTCCTGGAGGATGTCAGGTTCTGGACTAACGGACAGAGGGCTTGAAACCAGTAGCTTTAGTACTTTCAGCTTGGGGGTGGTGTGAGGGTCTGGTCTTAATTCAAATCATGTCAGCTCAGTGCCAGAGAATATACTATGGAGTGCAGAAGTCTTTCCTACGGAGCATCACTTTCAGAAGCCTAGCACAGAGCAATGCTACCTTGTGAATTAAGGGATATTTATACTGAGTCCAGTGGGATTAGAAGCCTGCCTAATGCTGGATCCCAGTGGAATTGTTGGGGCTCGGATCATGAAGTCTCGGCAGTGATCTAATCAGGCATCTGGTTCCACTAAGAAGGGGAAGTGCTGGAAGCAACCAAGGACTGCCGGGCATAGACGCTTGATCAGAACAACAATGACTTACAGCTGCCAGTAAATCTTAGGTCTCAGACTTCACAAGCCAGATTGTAAAATAAAGTCACAATTACACCAGTAACCCTAATGCTCATGCTCTAAGACTTTACCTAATTGACCAGCAGGGATTCAAACGGTTTCCAGGATTTTCCCTGAAAATATTTAGGGAGGAATGGAGAACTGAAATTTGGGATACTCACCTAAGTGTCATCTTCTTGATACTTGGCTTGAATTCTGGGAAGGTCTTTGAGCCTTAATTGCAGACTCGAAGCTCCCAGCCCCAACTTGGCTCATTTGAAGATGGTAAGGCATCTCTCAGATTTCCCTCTCTCCTAACATTTGTGAATCTCTCAGGGAAAATTACACATGTCCATGAATCACTCCTGGCCATCATGTGCTGCCAGCCTGCTAGTAGACGGAGAAGTCACATGTGTCCTTTCAGGCAGAAACACTGGAGTGTGAGTCAGAATTAAGCTGGAAGTTCAGTCTGAACAGAGTGTGGGAACTACGGTCAAGAAAGGAGCGGCGTTCTGAGTCAGAGCCCAACCTCCGAGGGTCACAGGTGGGGCTCCCGCTGGCATCAGTGCCCTAAAGGCGAACTTTATAGGATCTCAGAGGAGGCTAATGACCCAAAGTTACGCTAACTTAGCCTATTAGTCTCCATAAAAGGAGCAAAACTAATCCCACTCCCGTTACTTCTCAAGATGAGACTGGATTTATATTGGGCCCTTCCCTTTAATTGGCTGTGGGAACAAAGTGGGGCCACTCGTAAATACCTGCAGGTACCCTGGCTCGGGACGAGGGCAGAGCAAGCCCTCACAGAGCCAGGGATCTATCAGGACGTGAAATATCTGTCTGGTTGGTCCTTAGAAGGTCTCAAAGTGTTGTGCCATGTTCCCTCTGGGCATGCTAACGTTAATGGGAATCAGGGCAAGAGAGCACAGCTTGGCAGCAGAATTGGAATATCCTCCCAGAGGTTCTCCACTGTGGGGTGTAGGGAATGGAAATGGATTCATTTAAATAAATATTTATGAGCACACATCAGACCCACCAGGGGCACTTTTTCCCCCAAAATACACCCGTCTTTATAAGTTTGCTTTGCGTGGTGCTTCAGAGGCTGCTGCTTTCCTTCTGCATACTACGCCGGAAATCTAGGCAACTTAAACAGGATGAGTGATGGCCTGTTTAGGACCCCACGTCACGCTGGATTGTCTTCCCCAGGTCCCAGGTAACCTACTCTCATCAAACATCTGCAGTAACTTTTCTGTAGAAATCATTAATGAAGCGATTACTAATTTTAGAGAAAAAAATTAAAGAAATAAACCCTAAGTAAAGTTGAATACTTTCTTAGTCTTAAAAACCCCCAGTGTGAGGTGCTGCTGGTTGAGGTCCGATTGAAGGCCTAAGGAGAGCTAACAACAACTACCGTTTATTGACCGCTCACCACATGCCAAGCTCTTCATCTGCATTCTCATTTAATCTGCACGATGACCCAGCAAGGTGGGTGTTAATTTTACCAACACAGGAGAACGGAGGCTCAGAGAGCTTGAATGACTTCACTAAGATCGGGAGCTACAGTTTAGGGCAGAGTAACTGACACGTTGTCTTATTGGGCATAAGCTTCAGAGGGCAAGAAAACAGTTATTGAAGAAAACTGCACATTTGAAAGTACCTCCTTCCTTTAGGAAGCATTCTCTACCTTTGTCTCTCCATCTCTGGCTTTGGTGGCAAACTCTCTGTACAGTGGGACGTTGCCCGTTGACAGCCTACCAGGATCTGTCTATGTGAGAACCTCGCTCCCATTCCACCTCTCTTTCAAGGGTGACTGTCCTGCCCTTTGCCGTGGTGCGAGATTGGGACCCAACTTAATGTCCTACTTTGCCCTTCTCCTCCTCTTCTTTCTCTTTCCCCCTCCCCTCTTCCTTTTTAACTAAGCTTCTGCTACTTCTCTAGAAAACAAATCTCATCTGACACTAAAACTCCACTTTCCAAGTGGAGAACAAGCCTTCTGGGACTTGGGACAGAAGCACAGCTCGGCTTCTGAACCTTTGGCGCCGGAAGTCACACTGAACCGCTGGAGCCTAAAGTTTCAACATCTGCACCTGGATGCTGCCTGCTCCCTTAGCTGAAGCTTGTGCTGTGAAGAGAAATTTCTGCTCCACCCCATTGCCCTGGGGCTGGATCCACCAAAACGCTGGCAGGGCAGACTCAGGACTGGGGCTGGTGGTCTTCAAGATCACCCTGAATTCTCTAGGCCACAACTCCTCAGCCTCATCAACACCGTCATTCTCTAGAAGCCTGGCCTTGAGGGCTGAGTCAGGGCCCCTCCTAGGCTGGGGAACTTCATTTTCCTTTGCATGATGCAGAAGAGAGCCCACTGGTCCAGGATCTTTCTCTCCTCATGGGCAGTTTTGCACGGTGATTTTTTGGTATTTCCTATCACAGGCACTTTGCAAGGGTCACCCAAGTCCATCCTGGCAGGTTTCAGTAACTTCCAACTTCGGAGTAAAAAGATTGAGGGCTTGATCTTTTCCAGAAGATTACAACTCCAGTAAGATATATTGAGCTGAGGTGAGCCCAGTGGTGCTGGTGAATGACCCACAACCAGCTCTCTGGGGGAAAAGTGTGTGCGTGCGTGCATACACCAGTGTGTATGTTACAAACATACATCATATGTGTGTTTATTTTACATTTTATTGCTATAAAAGAGGAATAGCACACAACATACGAATAAAATACATAATATTTTTTATTTTAAATTCTATATAGCAATTGATTGTCACAAAATGCTTTTGCTGATTTTTGCCTAAATCTTACATCCACAGCCAACCAACGGTTGCAGCTGATCAACAAGTGTAGTTCTGACTGTTGGTTAATATTCTCTTTTACATTGACCATAAGATGAAAGTGAAACAATGAAGACATCTGTTGGGTCTTCACTTGTTTATCGATGACATGATTGACTTCTTTACTGAACGAGATAGTGGTTTTTATTTTTTTAAGATTTTATGTTTCCTTTTTCTCCCCAAAGCCCCCGTCGGTACATAGTTGTGTATTCTTAGTTGTGGGTCCAGTTGTGGCATGTGGGACTCCGCCTCAGCATGGCTTGATGAGCGGTGCCATGTCTGCACCCAGGATCCGAACCAGAGAAACCCTGGGCCGCTGAAGCAGAGCACGTGAACTTCACCACTTGGCCACGGGGCCGGCCCCGAGATAGTGACTGTTAAATACTGGAAGAATATTTCTTCAATCTTTTGTGCGATTCCCGATGTAGTAGTAACAGACTTTTAAGTTTAAACTGTATTATTAACGTTTTATCCACCACTTTCCTCAGTCTAGACAGTCAACAAAAGAGTAAATCAAACCCCGATTTTTAGTGTTTGCTCATTTCCGTGAATACTCCCACCGTGGCCCACTGTGAGCTGACACTGAGATGTCACTGAAGGCAGAGTTGAGAAGACATGCGCTGTAGAAGACCATTGAAAGTTGCTTCTACCGCTATGGATGCAATAGATACACAGATAATAGATACCGTCTCAAGAACATAGGTAATAGTAGAATGTAGTAAAATAATTTGAAAATAATGAGTTTGAGTATTTATGACTTTTGCTTTAAATATAATTTATTTAATGGTAAGTTTATGTAATTTAATTTTTAATAATGACTGTTTAACGACTGGCTTGCAAATTTCCTGAAACTGTGACAATCAGCTCTAACACGCTGGTACAGGCTGGCTTGTCCAGCACACCTCTGGGTAAGTTAGACTAATAACAATAAGTTAAGTTTAGTGCTATGTTTTTAATCATCAGGGTCGCATGTCCGTTTCCTATTGAGAGCATGTGAGACAGCTGTTAGTGCTCTTCTGATGAAGTATTTCTAGCTGTTCACTTGATGAGCAGAGAAATGTGGTAGATTGTACTTTCCTGCCTCCTTGGAGTCAGGGCTGGCCACATAACTTGTTTAGCCGAGGAAACGTGAGCAGAAATAACTGTGTCAAGGCCAGCCCCTATGGCCCGGTGATTAAAGTTTGGCATGCTCTGCTTCGGCGGCCCACATTTGGTTCCTGGGCATGGAACCACACCACTCACCTGTCAATGGCCATGCTGTGGTGGCGGGTCACATGAAAAAAAGAGGGAGATTGGCAACAGGTGTTAGCTCAGGGCAAATTTTCCCCAGCAAAAAAAAAAAAAAGAAGAAGAAGAAAAGTATCGCTTTAGAGTGAAAGCTTTAAGAGCGAGTACACAATTTGCCACTTTCTCTCTTTCCTTCTGCCACCAGCAATGCTCCATTTAGTGGCTTCTTCATCAGCCTGGCTCCCTGAGTGAGCCAGGCCTGGAGGGGACGCCTCAGCTGACACACAGTAAACACATATAAAGTGAGAAATCAAGTTGATTTAAGTCACTGAGGTTTTTGGAATTGTTTGTTACTGTGGCATGACCTAGCAGGTATCCTGACAGACAGTGTCTGATGTTGAAGAGGACCTGGTGTATTAGAGAATCAGGCAGAGTAGCTTATCTTATCTGAAATATATGATTTATTTTAGACTTGTAATTTCAAGCTAAAGGATGTAAGATAATTTTTAACAGACAGACTTTTTGTAAGAGAAGCTGATTTACTACATTAATGAGTTTGATTCATTACATTTACAAGAATTGCTTAAGTGCTTAAAAAGATTTTGCAAACAAGAGTTTAAGTCTTTCATGTAAATTATTTCAAGTGATTAGGGGGTAGGGATAGATATAATGCAAATTTGCTTAAAATATTTAGTGGCCTTGATTACTACCTTTGTAAATTGGGAACTAGTGATTTGGGAGAATTTACTCTGCGAAGTTCTTGTGGGTCCTCCTCCCTCACTCTGGCAGGTGGGGCATTCCATGGATGTCGTCTAGTGTGTGATCTTCAACAGTCATATAGTGATCGCCCTACAGCAAAATATATGTGTGTGTTTGTGAGTATTTACGTGTACCAAAAGGAGGGTGAAAAGACATACTCCTAAAATTTAATTACATTATTTGTGCTTTCTATTTGTAGGTGATCTATTTTATTATCTTACAAGGTAAGAAGAACTCAAAAAATATATAAAAAGTAAGAAAAATCGAAGAACAAAATATGTAAACGTGTGTGCACACGGGTGCGTATAGGGCTGTGTGTGCGTGTGGTGTGTACATTTTTTATCCAAAGGAGCTGTCATTTGTTTCGGTTTCTGGAGTTGCCTTTGGAGCTGACTTCTTGGTTTTGGGAAACTCACCACAGTAGTTTCTTGATTTATTTCTATATAAGGCGCATTCACCCACTGACCTCCAAGAAAGCTCCGCAGCTCACCTTAAATCTGCTTGCTGATGCTACAGAGATTTTTGTGTTTGGCTTAGTAATGCACATAGAGCTTGCCTTTAGCCAGCCTTTGAAGGAGACGAGAAATGGCTTTCTAAAATTTTGGTGATTTCAATTAGACTGTTCAGAGAGTAGGCAGCGTACTGTGGACTGTTGTGACAGCCTCATCTGCGTGGTGGGGTCTGCCTTTCCTTCTGGAGAATTTAAGGGACACGACTGTGTCTCTGCTTAGAGCAAATACTTCTAGGTTGGGCAAGTGGTGGATTCTAGAACTTTCCTGACTAAGCTCTCCAAGTAATTATCAGGGGAAGTGTTGATGGGAGCAGCGAGTCAGCATTGCCTAGGACTGCCCAGGTGGTCTGAGTTTCCGGGGTGACAGTGTGCAGACGGCCCCACAGGTGTGGAGGAGAAAGGGTGTCTGTGAGCAGAACCTCAGAAGAAGGGACTTTCTGTAATATTTGACTATTCAGAGATATGACCTACATTGTATTCAGAACTGGTGAGGTGGAATAGTTCAGATCTATTTTAGACTTAATCTTTTTTTGTCATTAAAATTTTTGTGTTTTAATTAAGCACCAGCAGAATTCTATTTGTAGTAGCATATTGAATATCTTTGTAATTAACAATACCAACGTAGATGGATAGGCTTCCTTCGCCTTAGAAAAAAATCTTTTTATTTTGAAATAAAGATTCACAGGAAATTGCAAAAATCATACAGCGAGGTCCTATGTACCCTTCACTCATTTACCGCATGGTGTCATCTTACATGACTATATATGTATTTCACAGATTTTCTATAATATGTTCTAGTTAGCAAAAAGGCCTCTGTCCAGTTGAAATTTTTTTTTTAACCTTTTGTTCTGAATTAGCTTCCTCTCCTGGGCTGTACTCTATCGTATCTTAACTTTCAGTGCATGTCCCTGGCTCTACTGTGGGCATGACCAATCAGAACAGAGGCTGGTCCCAAGAACTGGAACAGATTCTGGACACTCATGCATTAATACTTTAGTTTCTGGATCATGGGGATGTCTGGGAGAGGGTAGCAGAGGAGGTGACTATTGATCAACGGTATAAAAATATTTCAGTGTTTGGACCATCACGCCAGCCATGCTGGAGCGTTAGCTCAATGTCAGCCCACATTCCCTGTGGTCCACTCGCCACACTGCTTGGACTCACTGGATTATTTTTACTTGCCCCCACCGCCTACCCCCACCATCCAGTATACCGTCAGCTCTTTGAAAGCAAAGGCTGTGTGCTTCATTGTGGAACTCTGGAGCCCAGCATGGTCCCTAGTCAGTATCCGACAAATGACTGATAGATAAACGAAACTTCAGTTCTAGTCCTGGGCCTGTCCATGAACTAGCTGTGTGACCTTAGGCAGGAAGCTCACTCCAGTCTCAGGATCCTCTTCTGTAAAACAGGATTGGTAAACCTTTTTGTTTCTTATGAAGCTTCACAAGGAGTTTGCAAGAATTTCAAGATATGCACGAATAAGGAAAGACTAATGATAAAATAGGAACATTCCATTGTGATCTCAGTCCCTATTATATGCAAAACACATAATTTTTAGAAGTCTGGAGTCAGGCCTGCCCGTGGTGGAGTGGCTAAGTGTGTGCGCTCTGCTTCGGCGGCCCAGGGTTTCACTGGTTCGGATCCTGGGCACAGACCTAGTACTGCTCATCAGGCCACGCTGAGGCAGCGCCCTGCATTGCAGAACCAGAAAGACCTGCAACTAGAATATGCAACTATGTACTGGGGGGCTTTGGGGAGAAGAAAAAGTGAAAAATAAGATTGGCAAGAGATGTTAGCTCAGGACCAATCCTTAAAAAAAATTTAAAAACAGAAATAAAAAAATAAAAGTCTGGAGGGGAAAGAAAAATGACAAAACAGTCTTATGCCTGAAGAAATCAGAGTCTAGGGGCAGGCCTGGTGACACAGCAGTTAAGTGTGCACGTTATGCTTCAGCAGCCCAGGGTTCGCCAGTTCGGATCCCAGGTGTGGACATGGCACCGCTTGGCAAGCCATGCTGTGGTAGGCATCCCACAAATAAAGTAGAGGAAGATGGGCACGGATGTTAGCTCAGGGCCAGTCTTCCTCAGCAAAAAGAGGAGGATTGGCAGCAGTTAGCTCAGGGCTAATCTTCCTCAAGAAAAGAAAAAAAGAAATCAGAGTCTAGTGAAGACCGTCTTGTATGATAGCATGGTGCTGAGGGATGAAATGGTGCTCTGACTGCCGCACAATTGAGGCATTTCCCTACGACAGAGAAGAGTGATGCGTTCCACTGCCGCATTGATATAACTCCGTGACGTTTGTGACCAACCTCTTTCCCAAATTCCAAGATTTAATTAATAAGGACTGATATATGCTATTGGGTGAATAATGTTTTAAGCCCATTGTTATGTCTGGCACGTAGTAAATTATGTTTGTGTTATTATTTTTAGTACCTATCATTCTTTGAGCTGCTATTATTAGCAGTTTGATAATATTCATGTGCATTGGGCTAAGAAATTTAAATATACTATCTCAGTGAATTGTTACCTCAACCTCACAAAGTAGGTATTACCTGCATTTTGCAGATGAGGACACTGAGGCTGGAATCAGTCAAGTGGCTTCCTTGAGGTCATACAGTTAGCAGCGGCCACACCCAGGCTGAAGACAGATTTATCAACTCCAGAGCCCCTGTTTGTAAACACCATTTAAAAATAAGGAACATGGCGCCACTTGTAATCACAAATACAAATTGAAATAACTTTCCCCAATGTTATAACAGAAAGGTAATATTAGTGAGTGGGGTGTGCTGGGGCAAATCTGCCAGGACCCTGAACTACGTGGCAGATTTTTACCCACTATTAAAGATTTTATTAAATACAAGACTTTAAAGCTGTGAATTTAGTTTTGAAATAAGTCCGTCAGAGTGTGTCAGTTAGAAGTGTCTTCAGCAGCTCCAAATTCAACCCTCCAGCTTGTTCTGTGAAAATGGGTCTGGGCCTTTAAATATTTGTCCTTTGCCAGCTGACACTGAAGCTTTGTCAGTGGAAGGAGCTGGAGAAAAGGACTGTAGATTTCTTGGTTCCTGCAGTGTACATTTGCGTTCCTGAGGGGCTTCCTCCACCCCAGGCTCCTGCAGCTCTGTGACTTCCCCGGGGCCCGGCTCCTGCTCCGTGTCCTGCCCCGCAGCGCAGGGTGAACCAGCAGCCAGGTTCCTTGGTCCCCTCTCAGGCAGTGTCATAGTGGTGTGCACTCCTGAGAGGAGAGTTCTGGTAAGTTCTACCGATGGAGCAGCAGGGCGACTTGTCTGCTATCCAGTGAGCTGTGGCCATGTCCTCTCCAACAGGGTTTGGATCTCAACTTTAAGGGCCATGGGGCCTCTTCACATTCTTTAGAGTTCTCTTTACTTCTTACTAGCCAATCCTTTGTTACTCCAAACCCTGTTATACTTAATCATTCTTTGTATGAGACATTCTCTGCTGTAATTACCGTATGGTTTCTCTCCCCTGGTTACACCCAGATATACCTTGGAACAAGTCATAACTTATACCCTGCTATCTTCCCTCTCAGCCAACTCAAAAAAAGTAAACAAATATATTGCACTGTAATGCCCTTTTGACATCCGAATTGTCCTGGAGTTTTACTTCCTCCATACTGCCCACTCCACCAAATCCTTCTTTTCTTCTTCTTTTTTTTTTTTTTTTTGAGGAAGATTAGCCCTGAGCTAACTGCTGCCAATCCTCCTCTTTTTGCTGAGGAAGACTGGCCCTGAGCTAACATCCGTGCCCATCTTCCTCTACTTTATATGTGGGATGCCTACCACAGCATGGCTTGCCAAGCAGTGCCATGTCCACACCCGGGATCCGAACTTGCAAGCCCTGGGCCGCTGAAGCAGAATGTGCGAACTTAAATGCTGTGCCACCAGGCTGGCCAAATCCTTCTTGAAGTACCCTATACCCTGGCCTTGCGAACTGGGGCACTGCAATGCTGATCTGTAGGCAGACTGCATTCTTGCACACTCTTACAGACCCCAGTTCCTCTGCCTAGAATCTTGCCTTCCTGTAATGTCCTTGAAGAATTCCTACTTATCCTTCATGACCCAGCTCCAATATTATCTTTTTTTTAGAGCCTGATTTTTTTTTTTTTTTTTTGCAGGGGAAGTTTTGCCCAAAGCTATCATCTGTTACCAATCTTCCTCCTTTTTTCTTCCTCCTGCCATGCCACCCCCAAGCCACTGTACATAGTTATGTGTAGTGTAAGTCCTCTGTTCTTCCATGTGCGCTGCTGCCACAGCATGGCTACTGACAGATAGGCAGTGTGGTTCCATGGCCGGGAACCGAACACAGGCTGCTGAAGCGGAGGACACTCAACTTTAACCGCTATGCCATCAGGGCTGGCTCAATATTATCTTTTTTTTTTTTTTTTCCTTTTTCTCCCCAAAGCCCCCCAGTACATAGTTGTGTATTCTTCGTTGTGGGTCCTTCTAGTTGTGGCATGTGGGACGCTACCTCAGCGTGGTCTGATGAGCAGCGCCATGTCCGCGCCCAGGACTCGAACCAACGAAACACTGGGCCGCCTGCAGCGGAGCGCGCGAACTTAACCACTCGGCCACGGGGCCAGCCCCCTCAATATTATCTTTTTGAAGTTTCTTTGGCAGAATTATTCACATCCCTCTATTTTAGCACTTAGCAATAGTGTTTTATTTTCTCCAGTAGACTATAAGCTCCTTGAAGACGGGCTGTGTCCTGTTTCTATTCCTAGCTCCTAGGACAGTGCCCAACACAGAGTAGACTATCAGCACGTGTTTGTTGAATGAATCCATTTGTCTACATGTCATGCAAGACATGGAAAATTTCAAAGCCATTATCATTTATGATAATTGGCTGTGATACGGCTCAGCAATTCTTTTCTGGCTGCTCAGAGAATCAGTTTTGCTTTTGCGGTTGTGAGGACCTCCAGAGTCCGGCTTACCCTGAGCAGTTGAGAACCAGGCAGAGTCTCAAGCTTCTGTCCCAAGGTCTTATCTCAGCTCCTTGCCAGAGAGACTGCATCAAGGACCAGATGTGTGTAGCCAGACAGACAGGGGATCCTGCTGAGTTAACTGGCTTCCTAACCTTCTCTTGCTCCATCTCTGTCTACCTCACAGATAAGGATTAAATGAGGTCATATAAGCAAAGCTTGCATGGCGCCAGACACCAAGTAATCACTCAAGTGTTAGGTGCCATTAAGATTTCCTTGTGCCCAGGTTTCCCCACAACTTCAGCAGCAATTCCTGCTTGCTCTTTTTCCTGGACTGAACATTTGGACATCGATCTCAGCCTGGACCTTCCGATAGTGCATTCCTACCAGACTTGGAAATCTGGACACCAGCCTCTGCCCGTTCTCTGCTGCAGAATCTGCCTAGTTTAGACTTGGGGGCATTCCCAGTCCATCTCCTTGGAGCCAACTCATGCCACATCTCAGATTCACCCTTGTCCTTAGGGTGATTGTCCAGGTCACTACCTGCTCAAAAGCCACAACCTTAGCAAGTCACTCAGGACCCTTCAAGTTTCTCTTGAGCCTCCCTTTCCAGCTCTTGTCCTCACCCACGCCTATCTTCTTCACTGACCACAATCTAGCATATACACTCACCGTCCAAAAGTAGCAAAAGCACAAAAAATTTCAGTTCTTTTCTTCCCCAAAGTAGAGCTGGTCAGGAAATTTCTAATCAGAATAAATGATCCTGGGGTTTCATATAATTGATGCGGAAGTACGTGTGCTGCTAACCAATGTTTGTTTTTCTGCTTTTGTTGCCTGGAGAGGAGGAAACATTGGCTGGAGTCTCTCTATGCCTCGGAGACTTTGGACCAGCCTCTCTGGCTTCTTCTACTGATAACTAACATTTATTAGGGGGAGTCTTTTCCCTTCACCATGGCCTTGAAAGAGTTCGAGACCCAGGCCCGTCCCTTGCTACCTGGGTGAGAGTGGGCAAGCTTCCTAACTCTTCTAACCCTCAGTTTTCCATTTATAAAATGGGCATGATAATAAGAATAGTAGCTACTAAAAGAAAATTAGATGATACTCATAAACTACTCAGCACAGTACCTGCACAGAATAAGCAGCCAACTGAGAGTCAGCTCTTGCTTTTTTCCCAGGGCCCAAAGGGTCTGGGAATCATAAAAGAATAAAAGCTGCTGCCATCCAGGTGGGATGTCCATACAGACCTGCAGAACAGCAGCCTTCTTAGAGGACCACGCAGAGGCAGGCTTTGGACAATTGGGTGACATCTCCAGGACCTTAGGGAAACGCAGAAGCTCCAGATCATGAGCTTGGGCATATTCTTTTCTTCTAGATGTTGCCACATTTTTTAAAAATTATGGTAAAGTACACATAACATACAATTTACCATTTTAACCACTTTCATCTTGGGCATTTTCTAGGGCTGTCCACAATCCTTATAAAATGGTTAGTGATTAGTTAAGACTCCTGATGTTTCAAGTCATAGAAAATTCATTTGAGCAATAAAAGGAGCTTATTGGCTTATTTAACTGAAAGTACAGTGATATCTGACTTCAGGTATGTTTGGATCCAATAGCTCAAGTGACTTCCACCAAGGACTTGCTTCTCTCCATATTTTTTCTCTGCCCTCTGCTGGGCTGGCTTTATTCCCCACAATGTGAAGCGGTGGCAGCTCTGGGCCCCCTACTCTTGGTGATAAAATGACCACCAAGAAGATCAGGCCTCCAGCCCTTAGAACCACTCTTCAGGGAAAGAGAGTCTCTTGTGATGCTCCCACTGAGGGGAAGGGAAACTTTCTCCCCCTAGATGTCCAGTACCTCCTTGCATCTAGCTGACTTAGACTGCATTGTGTCCCTGTTTTGGAAAGACCATAGTGACCAAGGGGCCTATTAAAGCCAATTACAGCCCATCCTAGAATTGGAGCTGGGGTCAGTCGCACCCAAACCACAAGGCTGATGATGGGCGAGGGGTGCTGCCCTCAAAGTAAAACCTGGGGGTCATTATACTAGGGAAGGAAAGTCCACTACAAACACATTGTCCTGGTCCCCCCAGAGGTTCCCATCCACCATGCCAAACAGAATGATTTTAGTGTTTTTTCTACCTCATCTGTTTTCCAGCAGACTCATCTCCCTTGCTGGTGTTCTGGCCTCAGTCTGCATTGCTATTCATATAATGAGAGAATGATGAGACACGGATAGTCACTGACCCTGTGAGTTTAAGTTTGCAACTACTCCAGAATGAAGGCATCCTTCCATGAATTTGAAATACAGCTGGAATTGTCAACCCATCCCGACAGAAGTTCAGTCACCATGTGCCCTGAAACTCAGCTTTGAAAATCTCACTGCCTGTAAAGGAAAAAAGTCAAATTTAGACAAGCAGAGTCTAATGGATATAGCCTGAATCTTGTTGCACACCAGCTTAGCACCCTGAAAACCGAAAGCGTTTTGAATTCTTACTAAGAACATGTGTGCCATTACATGAATTGAGCTAGTCTTCCGCTAATCTTTTCAAATCCACAGACTTCTCCGGCACAAGAGACTTTTGTTTGGGGCCACTCTGATACACTTTCCTCCTGCTCTCTCCGAGTTGCAATGCTTCCTTCTTAAAAGCTTTCCTTTCCAAAGAAAAGGCCCAAAAGGTATAACAACAGGAATTTGCAGGGAAAGAATCAAATTGTACTTCCATATTGATTTCTAAAACTGTTTTTAAAATTAAGACAGATGAACATAACCAATATTGATAAACATCAATTTTGAGTTTTCATTCTGTCTTTTAAAGGTGAGTGCTCATGGCTGCTGCTTTCTCTCAGTTAACCACACCCGACGGGAAGACGTGTCCTTTATACCTGGTGGCTGTGACTGGGACACAGCTGTTCGCTGGTAGCAGCACACTTCAGTCGCAGGCAGAGCATCCAGAAGGAAGTAAAAAGCATCTCAAGTGCTGATAGAGCAAAACCTAAACAAATGACTATATTATTTCTTAAATCCTTGAAGTTTGAGTGTCTTGAACCACGTATACTTTAAGAATGTGTGGCATCTTATCCTGTCATATTTTGTTACTTTGTGGAATGACCACTTTCTAGTCAAGTCTAGCCAATCAGATTTCAATGTTGTGACCACTGAGGGGGAAGGCCTTATTTGGAGTCCAAATAATTACATACAATATATACATGTTTATATTTATATATATATATATATGCTCTCTTTTACTCTTTTCTTTTTTCTCATATTTAATAGCTAGGAGTTAAAGCTTTTATTGCAGTGTGTATTTCCTACTGAAGTTGACAAACGAAGGAATACATAAAGTTTCTTTTACTTTTAAAAATTTAATCTTTTAAAGGATAGATTTATTGAAGTATAAATGGCTACAGTAAACTGCACATATTTAAAATGTACAGCTTCCTAAGTTTTGACATATACGTACACTCGTGAAACCATCACCAAAAATCAAGACAGTGAACGTATCCATCACCCCCAAAAGTTTCCTCCTGCCCCTTTGTCGTCCTCCCTGTGACCCCCCTCCCAAGCAACCACTGATCTGCCTTCAATCATTACAGACAGAAAGTTTTCTACAAATGAAATCATGCAGTATGGACCCCTTTATGACTGGCTTCCTTCACTCAGAATAATTATTTTGAGACTCATCCATGTTGTTGCATGTATTAATACTTCATTCCATTTTATTGCTGGCTAGTAAGGAATAGAGAGTTTTAATATCTGATCTTGAAATTCATAACAGAAGTTTTTTTGTGCTGTTTAATCTTTTACTTGAATATAATAATAGAGGACATTTTGGTGAGAGGTAGTCTGTCTGGAATTCATTAAATATGAGGCCTTATAACTCTGTTGAAACTCTTGGGGTACCAGGTTTGCTGTGACTTTAATTAGGTTGTCTTAATATTACAAATTGTATGCATTAGGAGAAGGTTTGACATTGATTTGAATCGTAGAATTCCCTGACTGGAGGAAGCTTTGGAGGTGATCCCACCTGCCTCTTCATTTTACAGACGAGGAGCTGGATGCCCAGAGGGCTTAAGGGGTCTGTCCAAGGTCACCCAGCACAGACTTCTTTCTACAGCTTTATTAGGGGATGATGGAGGGTTAAAATGGAGGATGTGGTCAGTGTAGAACTGTCTTGGCCTCCTCCCGTCGTCCCTGCCTGCAGACCCCTGAGCCTCTGCCTCATCCTCTGTCTGGCCCCTAGCCAGTGGTCCACTCCCACCAGTGTCCCACCAGCTTGTGGAATGGGGAGGTCCATCATGGCAGGCTTATGGCAGCCCCTCAGTGCTTGAGAACAGCTCAGATAACCTAAACTTCAAGATGCCTTGCCTGACTGAGCTACCAAATTTAATGGATATAATGTGACTGCTCTTCTAGAGGCTTTAGAGCAGCCATCAAGGGCTCTCCTTCCCAGAGACCCAAACAGACAACAGGGCAGAAGACCTTTGCTGAAGCCCCGAGATGGAGAACTGGGCCCACGTTCAGTCACTTGGTCTACCTCCTTCTCCTTCTCTTTCCTCCTACAGTACTTCTGGGGCCAAGAAGGGGTAGGCTTTCCTCCCTTCTTAGTGTAATCTTCAAGCTAGACCTTGATAAAGATGGAGGTAAAGGAAAATATGCAATCCTCTTGTCTGACTTGCAAAGCTAGAGTGGTGCAGAAAAACCCTATTTTTGAGTAGCAGAAGCTCGATTCCCACTTTGCACTTCTCTGTGATGCTTTTAATCTCCCAAGGCAGAAAGATGCTTCAGGAAGAGCAGCGTGAAGACCACGTGCTCTGACTATAAAAGCACATTAATAATTTTCAAACTGTGGGTATTACCTCCATGCATCTTGCTACTCGAGTGTCCTAATTAATACCCACTTACTCAGAAATAGAGTAAAACGACAGCTGCCCAAGGACCAGAGACCCTCTCCCTCCCACAGTCCACCCTCTCTCCACTACAGTGGAGACAACCAACATAGCTGACAGTTAGGAACATTTACCACATGCCACGTGGATTATCTCACTTAATTCTCACAACCACCTTCTGTTGCAAGTACTATTACTCACCCCTTTTACTGATAGGGAAACTGAGACTTAGGAATGTGACCTGTGCAAGGTCAGTATCTAGTAAGTGATAGAGCCAGGGGTCTGAAGCTTGGTTTTAGTCACTAACTAACTGCCATCTAGTTTTTACCTACTAGTCTTCACTGCTTCCCACCTGATCACTGTATCTACAGTGGTTACATCTCTAGACAGCTGGCCAACTTAAGCTGAGGGGAGGAGCGGTGGCTTTTCCAGGACCTTTCCTACCAGCTGAAATCAGTTGAAATGTACAGTGAAATGTGAATGGATCTGTTTATGGCAAAACTACAGGTGGCTAATAGAACAGAGCTTATTGCTTCTAGAAATCTTGCTCCTAGTTATAGATTATCTTAAGTGGAGATGCCAGCTTAAAAACAATCAACATTGCAACAAGAACAATGCAGTATACCTCAGCATAAAAAAAGCCAAAGTATATTGCAATTTATACATTAATAAATCACTGTTCCCACCTTTCTTTTCCCTTTGCCTTAATTTTCCCAGCTGTATTTTATCCTTTTATAGTTGATGATTTTTTTTTAAGCTTCTGCAAATCCTCTAGGGAGTGAGGTGGGAAGAGTTAATAAATCTAATGGAGGAATTAGTGAACCACTGATTTAAAAGGTTACGTAATAATCATGAAATTTTGCATACCACTTTGTAGTTTTGTACACATTCTTTACCATTAACTTTGACCTTTTCAGAAATAAATTCTGCATTCATCTTTTTGCACTAGGATCTGTCATACTTCATTCATTCAGTGTATGTTTTTGGAACTTTAGAAAAAGCGACAGTACAGGGGCTTGTTCTCAAAGAGCTGACAACGTAACGGGTAGTGTTGGGTCTGTTGGGAGAGCTCAGTAAATGTTTGCGGAATAAACCTCACTTCATCTCCACAAAAGAACCTTGTGTGAAAGAGTAAGATGATTTCTCGTTTTTAGAAAGACACAGAGAGGCGATATGTCTTGTCCTTGGTGGCTCGCGGGAAAGAGGGAGACCCAGATGTTCAAATCCAGGTATTTGGACCCCAAACTCCTTGCTCTTTCCACGACATTAATATAAACCCACAGGAAGCAAGTGGACACAGGTTTTTCCATCTGCCGAGCATTTCTCTGGGCAGCCACTGAGGGTTTGAGGGAGGACACAGATAAAGCACACCTTTCTGACACAGGCCCGTGCGCTCCTGGGCATGTGATGTCGCCCACACCAAGCCAATTACTGCATAACCATCCATCCCCAAACTAGGCAACTTTCAACAACAG